GGTTCCCGGCCCGGCGGCCACGGGCAGAAGAACGGCAAGAAGGGCCCCGGGGATGCTCACGCCGCTGCCACCAAGACCTACTCCCCCTTCCTCAACACCGTTTTCGGCAAGGTGGGGACAGCCGGGCAAGGCACTGGGGATGGAGGGGACATGGGGACATGGGGATGAAGTCAGGGATGTGGTGGGACCCTGGGGATGGAGGGAACAGCGTGGCCCTGGGAACGGGGATGGGGACAATCCAGGACCCTGGGGATGGAGGAGACACGGGGGCAGTGACAATGGGGTTTGGGATGCTCTGGGGATGGAGGGGACATGGGGCCCTGGGGAGGGAGATGCTCCGGGACCCTGGGGATGGAGGGAACAGCGTGGTCCTGGAAATGGGGACGGGGACAATCCAGGACCCAGGGGATGGAGGGGACATGGGAGCAGTGACAATGGGGTTTGGGATGCTCTGGGGATGGAGGGGACATGGGGACATGGGGATGAAGTCAGAGATGCTCCGGGACCCTGGGGATGGAGGGAACAGCGTGGTCCTGGAAATGGGGACGGGGACAATCCAGGACCCAGGGGATGGAGGGGACATGGGAGCAGTGACAATGGGGTTTGGGATGCTCTGGGGATGGAGGGGACATGGGGACATGGGGATGAAGTCAGAGATGCTCCGGGACCCTGGGGATGGAGGGAACAGCGTGGTCCTGGAAATGGGGACGGGGACAATCCAGGACCCAGGGGATGGAGGGGACATGGGAGCAGTGACAATGGGGTTTGGGATGCTCTGGGGATGGAGGGGACATGGGGCATTGGGGAGAGGGACGGGGACAATCCAGGACCCTGGGGATGGAGGAGACACGGAGGCAGTGACAATGGGGTTTGGGATGCTCTGGGGATGGAGGGGACATGGGGCATTGGGGACAGGGACGGGGACAATCCAGGACCCTGGGGATGGAGGGGACATGGAGGGACTGGGGATCTTCTGGGACACTGGGGATGGAGCGGACACGGGGCACTGGGGATGGAGGGGACATGGAGGCGTTGGGGATGGGGTCAGGGATGCTCTGGGACCCTGGAGATGGGACCATTGGGGACAGGACTGGGGACACTCGGGGACCCTGGGGATGGAGAGGACATGGGTGCACTGAAGATGGTGTTGGGGACACCCCAGAGCCCTGAGGAGAGAGGGGACACCCAGGGGGACAGCCTGGGAAAGGGGAGCCGAGCCCCTCCACCTCCGGGACTCCGGATCACCCCCATGGGTGCCGGGCAAATCCCATTCGGAGCCAGGGGGAGGTGTCCCGGGTTGGGGCAACCCCAGGGTTGGGTGGGTGGCAGGAGATGGGACACGGGGACCGGGGCAGGGCTTTGCCCTCTCCAATCCCTCTAATCCCTCCCGCCGGAGTTAATTTTGGCCCACGCTTAACGAAGGTGACACCGTGGTTTGCTGCGGGGGGG